GTACCGCAGGCTGACGCTCCAACCGCTGAGCCAAACCGGCCAGGGCCAAAACATTTTATTATAAGTTTGTATATCTAAATGCTGCTTATAGAAAATACACTGCATATAGAAAATAGAAAAATGCTGCGATGGTTATGTTTCAAACTGATAATGGTTTTCCACTCTAGGGAGTAAGACCAGGATTGAGAGGTTGTTCAAAGAGGCCTTTAGCCTTTTTTTTTTATTCTCACCCGAGAACATTTTTCTGTTTTTTGTTCAGATAGAGTAGGAGGAAGAGAGAGAAAGGGAGAGAAACATTGACGTGAAAGGGACACATCTAGTGGCTGCCACCCTCACGACCCAACCAGGGCTGGGAATAAACTGCAATCGAGGTACGTGCTGTTAGTGGAAACCAAATCTGGGTCTCTTTGGAGTGCAGGCCGACATTCTAACCGCTGAGCTAAACTGGCCAGGGCTAGCCTTTTTAAACAATATTTTTGTCTCATATAGAGAGAATGTAAGACTGTGTTATGAAATTAAACACTTAAGAAAGAGTTGCTATAATTTCAGAGAGCGATCGTTTCTGGTCTGTGTTCACCTGATGGATACTGTGATACTTAAAATTTTATTTCTCTGTCATGTATTTTATTATTTAAAAAAATGTTTTTTATTTTTTTTCCCGTTATTGATTTTTAGAGAGAGAGGGAAGGGAGAGGGAGAGAGAACATGTATTGACCACCTCCTGCATGTTCCCCACTGGGGATCAGGCCTACAACCTGGGCATGTGTTCTGACTGGGGATTGAACCGGCAACCTCTTGGTGCACGGGTCGATGCTCAGCCACTGAGCCACACCGGCCGGGCTCTCTGTCATATATTTTAAATAAAATGTCCAGGATCATAATATTTAAAACTCTTGGTTACCCTTGTGATCATGTGCCTATCACTGATTTGGGGCCTGAGGCTAAGGCAGGACCTTAGTTAGTGGCAGGTACTGGGACTAGAACATGGATCTTGAGGGCTGCATGACCATGATGCTCTGAAGAGCATGTTTAAGAAGAGAGCTGCTATACAAAGGAATACGGCAGAACATCAACTACATTATTTATGATATAAAGATTGTGTTTTCACATGTTAGTTTTTCTGAAGGTATGGGGTTTAGTGTATTTATCTTTTTTTTTAAATCCTCACCTGAGGACATTTTCACATTTATTTTCAGATAGAGTGGAAGAGAGAGGGAGGGAGAGAGAGAGAAACATTGATGTGAGAGAGACACATCGACTGGCTGCCACCCACATGACCCCAACCGGGGCTGGGGACAAACTGCAACCAAAGTACATGCCCTTAGAGGGAACTGAACCCGGGTCTCTCCAGTCCACAGGCCAATCTTCTAACCGCGGAGCCAAACCGGCCAGGGCAGCTTTACTGTATTTAAGCAAGAGTAGTTGGATGGTCCTAAGAATAGAAGTACTAAACACCCCTAGCTGGCTATGGAAGGGCCTGCTAGTGGGAGAGTGAATAGGCTTCCTCCTCCCAATAGTGACCAGGACAACGGGTAGATCTGTGGGAAATGTTCAACATAAGGTCAGAAAGAATTGAGAAGACTGTTCCCTAGAGAGAATCAGGAAGATGCTTGCATCTTCATTTTGGATTTTGTTGATGTATGTGTTTTGGATTTTAACCGAATATTCCCAAGTCATAGATATCTGCTTGCTGGAATAATATATAGGTTGACCAGATTAAATTTTTGTCTATTGCTTGGAGCTTTTTCATCTATATAAAACCAGTTCATGACAGTCGAAACCTAGGCCATGAGAGCTGGCTGATATGGAAAGTGCTTTTCTTACTTACTGTGGGAACAGATTCTGCCATAGCTTTTAGTGTTATTGTAAACACTAAACTTTTCTCTATATAGTGATCATGGTATGAATAATAGTCCATGTTCTTGGCTTTTTGAGAACATGGCGAAGTTGAATTTGGGTCAAGGTTTACTTTTTTAGGTGAGATTTATAATTATCCACATCTGATTCAGGGTTCATCAGGGTTTACTCTTGTTAAGAGGAAACTAGCTCTTTGGAACTTGACTCATAATCTCTGGTTCACTTTTAGACTTTCTGCAGACTCCTGTGTCACCCACTATGAGTCAGGGAAGTCCTTCATTCTGCATTGGGAGTCTGGAAGAAGATTCTCCCTTTCCTTCTTTTGCCCAGGTAAGTCCTTTGCTTTTGAAGCTGCCCAAGGGTATTAACACAAACTCTACTGCTTGTTCTTTCTGGAAATCCGTTGGAGAATGGGAGGCTTATAGGCTAATTAATGTTGCACTTTCTAATAATCACAGAAAGCTTTCTTTCTTTTTTAAAAATTGATTTTAGCCCTGGCCGGTTTGGCTCAGCGGTTAGAGCATCTGTGGTCCAGAGAGGCCTGGGTTCAGTTCCCGCTAAGGGCGCGTACTTGGTTGCAAGGGCGCCCTGGTTGGTCGTGCGGGTGGCAGCCACTCAATGTGTCCCTTTCACGTCGATGATTCTCTTTCTCTCCCTCCCACTGTATCTGAACAAAAAATGGAAAAATGTCCTTGGTTGAGGATTACAAAAAAAAGTAATTTTAGAGAGAGGAAGGGAAAGGGAGAGAAACATTGATGAAAGAGAGACATCATCAGTCAACTGCCTTTTACACACCTCCTGCTGGGAATGGAGCCTGCAACCCAGGCATGTGCCCTGACTGGGAATCGAACCCACAACCTCTTGGTACATGGGTCGATGCTCAACCACTGAGCCACACCGGCCAGGCACAGAGGCTTTCTTAAGAGGGAAGCTCATAGATTTAGTCTCAGATATTACTGTTGAGTAGAATCAGAGTTCTCATTATTTAACAAATCATTGGATCTCTCCCTCCCACCACCACCACCACCACTTTGGCAGATGCTGAGAGTTGGAAAAGCAAAAGCAGAAGTGTGGCCCAAAACTGCTCCAAAGAAAGGTGAGGATGGCCCTTCTGGTGAAGGGGGTGGGGGGTGGGAGGAGTTTGGCCCCTTTCGGAAGATATAAGTCTCTAGAGTTGTTTCTAGAATGGTAACACTTGTTTTTCAGATGAAAACAGCTTAGTCCCTCCTGCCACCATGGACAGTGATGGGGAGAGTGATAACTCGGACCGTGTTCCTGTGCCCAGTTTCCAAAATTCCTTCAGCCAAGCTATTGAAGCAGCCTTCCTGAAACTGGACACGCCAGCTGCTTCAGATGCCCTCTCTGGTAAAGGCAAAGAACTGCACGGGGCTGGGCTTCCCATCTGGACTCAGTGGCAGATAGCACTAATCGGTCGGGCACTTCCCCCGAGCCTTAGGCTCACCTTCTGGTGTCAGTGAACATTCCATTTGGTATGTCATATAGGACCTTTTTGCCACCTCAGATTAATTCTCGAGGCCTGGGTGTGAAGTTCTGAGGAATTCTCCCATTAACCATACTAAATGGGTAGAACTCTCACATTACAGTTGAGGAAACAGAGGTCTAGGGAGATAAAGTGACTTGTCCAAAGACAAACACCTGTGTGTAAGGACTGGTATTTGAACACAGGTATTCCGATTCCAGAGCCTGCACTCTTCACTGCTGTTCTCTCTCTCAGTAAAGAACACTGGCGGGGACAAGGGGGATGGCATTCTAAGCTAAGCTCTCTCTGTTTCCATTTAGAAGAGAAAGGAGGAAAGAAGAGAAAAAAACAGAAACAGAAGCTCCTGTTCAGCACCTCAGTTGTCCACACCAAGTGACACTACTGGCCCACGCTACCTTCTCCATCTGGTTTTCTTTTTTTTCTGTGCTTTTGTTTTGCTGCTGTAATTTTTAAGTATTTGAGTTTGAACAGATTAGCTCCGGGGGGAGGGGGGGGTTTCCACAACGTGAGGGGGAACCAAGATGATTTTAAATACAGTGTATTTTCCAGCTTCCCGTCTTTACACCAAAATAAAGTATTGACACTCACAAGAGATCTCTTCCTGCCAAGATTTTTAGTTTGTTGCCAGGTTAGTGTTTTTGACCCATGTGTAACTAGTTTTTCCTCAACCCCTAATAAGTTTGAGTCCCTTCAACATCCCTTGGACAAGCAGCCCAAACCAGAATGTTAAATAGCACTGCTCTGACATCATGTGTCAGGGCATCATGGTTTCAGCACACCTATCAATAAGTCTTAAAAACAGTTGAATCTTTTCTATCTGTTCAGTTCTCTTAAAGAAACAGAGGGATGGGAATAAAATGGATTTAGGATACCCAGCTTGAATTGCAGTTTTTCGTCTGACATGGCCAGGCTCTTGGGCCAGACCTAGGGTTGCACTTGCATGTGTGATGGAGTTTTGCCTCTTGCACATGGCTTCTGTTTGGCAAGAAAAGCTGTAACTGTCACTAAGGAAGCCTTGGGACCTGCCAACCTTTTACACAAACTTGTTTCAAGTGGCAGTGGCCTGAGTTGTAGGAGCAGAGTCCAGCACACCTGGAGGCAGAGCCAGACAGGGTTGAAAGCAGTGGGGTTGCCCATGGCCTCCCTATTGTCTAGAGTAGTCTTATGCCTTGGTTTGAGCTAAATTTGAGTGATGTGAATTATTTTGCTGCTTAAAGTAACCTCTAGGTGTAATAGAATGTGAAGGCAAACAGTTGCAATAAATTACCTGCACAAGCAATGTGAACTTCCTGTTTTATTATTTTTTATCTTATTTTAAAAAATTATTTGAGAGAGGTAGAAAGAGAAACATCAATTTTTGTTCCACTTATTTATGCATTCATTGGTTGATTCTTGTATATGCCCTGACTGGGGATCGAACCTACAACCTTGGTGTATCAGGACAACGCTCTAACCAACTGACTGCCCAGCCAGGATAGCTGGGTTTTTTTAAAAGTTCAATTCAGGTCAGCTAGACATATTTATTTTTATTTATTATTTATTGATTTTAGAGAGAGAGGAAGTGGGGGGTGGATATCTAAGAGAGAACATCGATTGGCTGCCTCCTGCATGCCCCCCCTGCCCCTCCGCTGGGGATTTGGCCCATAACCTGGGCATGTGCCCTGACAGGGAATCAAACCGGCAACCTCTTGGTACATGGGACAACGCTCAACCAGTGAGCCACACTGGCTGGGCTAGCCATACTTATTAAATAGGATAAAGTATCAGCTACTATGAGCATGAGCTGGGCTTAGCTTTAACCTGTCATTGTTTTATTTTAAATGTTTTTTGTTAATTTTTTTAGAGAGAGGAAGGAAGAGAGAGATAGGAACATTGATGGAGAGAGAAACATTGATCGGCTGTCTCCCTCATACCCCTCACTGGAGAATTGAGTCCGCAACCCAGGCATGTGCCCCAACTGGGAATTGAACCAGGACCTCTCAGTCCATGGGACGATGCTCAGTCCACTGAGCCACACTGGCCAAGCTAACATGTCATTCTTAACAGGAAGTGTTCAGAGAAGTCCTGGGTTGGGAACTCGGGGGCTGGGGGATGAAGGTGTTCCAGCCTGAGATGAGAGGGCATGTTGAAACAAAAGTCACAGATAGATCAAATGTGTCAGTGCCTTTGAGTGACATCATTTTATCATGGAGAAAGCAGATCCTAGAAATGTAGAAGATCCTGGTGCCTTCTAGAATGCTCTGTTCCAACAAGTGAGCCCGGAGGCTTGGGCACAGTGCAGTATGCTGAGGTTCACTCCATTGCTTCAGCAGCCTCCTCATCACCACCATCTGAAAGATCCTCCTCACCTGGCTCCTCCTCTAGTAAACAGCTTGTGACAGACTTCTGGATAGCTTCCCGCTCTCCTGGAGAAAGGCAGACAGCACGGGTGAAAGATGTTTTTTATAGCCGAATGAGGTCAATCACTGCTCAGTGGATACTGGGTTAGTGTTGCTTACCCTCATCAGTGCAGTTCTGCAACAAGATCAATAGCTGTCTCCTGTTGTACTGAATCAGGAACTTCTGACATGTTCTAATTGTACCTGGCACATGAAAGAGCTTCGTGGTCAACAGTTTGTGAAAGGTGTATACCTCAAAGACTTTCAGAACTAGGGGAAAGTATCTTGTTCTGTGCAGGATAGGAAGACCTACCCACCAGTCATGACTGAGCTCTGAACCTGTTATCTATTGGAAATCAGCTGTACCACATGCACACCTACCTCCCACATGCAAGGTGTTTAGAAAACACGGGTACCGGTGTCCTTTGTTCTCTAAGTACGTGATGAAGGGAAGAGCTGACCACACTAGCTGGTAGAATTCCTTTCGGCATCGAAGTAGCACTATTCCAGTATAGGCATTGAGGTATCGTACTACAGTAGGAAAGAAGAAATCATTTTGGGAAAATTTGGATTTTCAACAGCAGGTTAAAGGTCTCAGGATAACTTAGAACCTATTATTTTGTGCCACAGACTGTTTAAGGCAGTGGCACTTGGGATGCTTCAGTGAGTAAAACTATTTCTGAAGGGAAAAAAAAAATTTAGGACAGGCTTTCATTTGGGGGGGAGGGAGGGTGATAATATCCAGTCCCTTGCATACCACTCAGAACTGATAAATGAATTTAGAATTTTAATTTTTTTTTAATCCTCACCTAAGGATATTTTTACATTAATCTTCTGATAGAGCTGCAGGAAGAGACACCTGTTGGTTGCCACCTGCACAACCCCTAGCAGGGCTGGGGCTGAACCACAACCGAGGTACCTGCCCTTGGCTAGAATCGAACCTGGGACTCCTTGGTCAGCAGGCAACGTTTTTACCACTGAGCCATACCGGCTGGTGCTGAATTTAGAATTTTAAATGTTCTAATTCACTGGGGTTAACTCAATAAATTGGGGGTGGGGAGGTGGAGATCCATCTTCCTCAGAAGAAAACCCTTGACTGAAAAAAAGGTTCTGCAGGTTCTTGTGGCAGCCAACTCTATCACACCTGATGTAGAGTTGTGCCTATGTGCATATATTTCCCCTTCCATTTCAAGCATATGGAAAAAGGGAACGAATTTAGATTTGTATGGCTGTTCGGAGGGCCCTCTTCTTCCTCATTTGCCTACACACAATGTGTGTTCTGTACTTTACAGGCCCTGTTAAGGGCTTTTCAGGGTTCTGACTTTTTCCATGTGATATCAATGTAAGCAGTCACTTAATAGGAACCATACGTCTCCCTCATTTAATTCTAACCATCCTATTAAATTCAGTAACAATCCCCAATATGCACGGGTCAAATAGGTACAGGGGATTCCTGCCCAAAGTCCCACTGCCTTCCGCTTTTACCTCTCCGCCTACCTAGACTAGTCCACACCTGGGGCTCAGGATCCCAGACGCCTAAATAGGACCATATTGTGGATGGTGCACCAGGCTTGGCAGCTCCGTGGGACGCTTGTGCCCTTTCTCCCTCCCCCGGTCCCCAATCCCTCAAAGTCTCGCTGACGGCCCGGTTCCCCAGCACCTTCGCACCCGCGAAGCCGATGGAGCAGGCGGCCGCGCCGAAAGTTCCGTGCATGCGGGCAATTGTGTCCCGTACAAGGCCGCCCAGCACTCGGTCATCCAGACTCAGGCGGCAGCGGGGGTCGTCAGACACCACTTCGCAGAGCAGGTACCTGGGACGGGCGAGAGGGACTTGAGCACGGGGCCAGGGCCGCGGGCACCCGGCAGGGAGGGCAATGAGGGGCCAGCCATCGGCTGCTTACCTGTGCTTGAACCGCACCATGGCGACCTCCGCTCCTGGCTTCCTGACGCGCAAACTGGGTGTCTGTGTTCCCGCTGGTGGCCAATGGGAAGTTAGCCTCCGCAGTTTTGCAGCCACTCAGAGACGGATGCAGGATAGGAAGGTGGAGCTATAATGTTGAGAGGCCGAGCCCAGTGTCAGTCGTCTTCAAGCTCCGCCTCCGTTTGCGTTTGCTGAGCGCAAGCGTAGTGCGGAGTCCCACGCTGGTTTGGTAGGATCTGAGCTCGATTCAGCGTTGGAGCGGTTTGTGGCTGTGATGGGTATTTATTGCTCCACGCCGAAATTTGCAATACTGTGTAGGGTGCAGCTGCTGCATGTGGGGCCCGCAGGGACATTTACTTTCTGTTATATTACAGTACAGTTATGTATGCACTTATATATTCTCTCCCTAAAGCTGGACAGTGGAACTCCATTTACAGGCCAGAAATTGACACGGGAAAACGGACCCTTACTTTCAGGTTAGGACTCGGTTTACTTTTTCCATACAGCCAAATATGTTATTACTGTTTGAGCTTTTCAACAATCTTACGGAGATAGGTGTATTGTCTCGTTTTTTTTGTTTGCAGAAACAACCCATGGTGGTCATATTTTCCATTTTTTAAACTGAAGACCACAAAGAAGCAAATTAAAATGTTATAATCCCATCACAGAGAGAGAATAATTTATCATGTAGTGCCTCCCCACCCCCGTTATTTCCCCCCTGTGCCAACGGTTCTCAAAGTGAGATGCAGGGACCACTGGGTTTTCCGAGACTCCAAGGTCCAAATTACTTTCATAATATATAGTAAGATGTTATTTGCCTTTTTCAGTCTCTCACAATGGACAGTGAAGTTTTCCAGAGGTTACATGGCATGTGCTGACATTATCACTCATGGCTAATGCGATTGAGTATTGTGTTTTAAACATTTATGTTTTAATGTCCATGATAAGTATCAATATCGCCCACAAAAACAAAAGCTCTTTGGGAACCTCAATAATTTGAGTGTAAAGGGGTCCTGAGCCAATGAAAAGTTTGAGATGAGAACTGCTACCCTATGTTGTTATTTTCTTTTTAAGAATAGGATCATACTGTTTAGTACTCTTTTAAAAACACAACTGTTTTATTGAAGTATAACATACATAAAGTGCATAAATATAGACTTATGTAACCATCACCCAGATTAAGAGAGCATTTTTAGCCTTTTTCCCAGTCAAAATTCTTCCCAGAAGTAGCCTCTATTCTGACTTATATTATGAAAGATTAGTTTTGCCTGTTCTTGAACCTGACAGCATGTTTTTGTGTATGTGTGTCTGGCTCCTTCCACTCAATATAATGTGTGTAAGACTCATTTCTCCTTGTTTGACTATATTTTCATGTTAAATGTTCAGCAACATTATTTTTCAGTTACATCGTATTGTATTCTTTGGATGTACCACTGTTAAATTTGTCAATATTCCCATGATGGACATTTAGATTAGTTCTAGATTTCTTCTGGAAAGGATTTTGACTGGGAAGAGGGCATGGGAACCTTCTTGGGTGCTAGAAATGCTCTCTTAATCTTGTTATACCTAACACTTTGATGCACAGCCTTGCGACTAGGTCTTCATACCTATTCCTGATTATTAGTAGAAATGTCAAGGACTTGGCTGGCCCTGTGAGGTCCATAAAGGGCGGCAGGTTTCACAACTGATTATTTGCAGGATGTGGAATAAGTCCTCAATTTTCCCATCTCTCACTTTTCACCACCTTAAAGGAGGGATACTGAAGAAGGAAGGGGTGGGGGTGGTGGGGGGCGGAAGAGCAGTGGCCCTGCTGAGGGACCAGTGTCTGCTCTTTCTCCTCACCCAAGAACAATCTCATTATCCAAAAAAAAACGGTCTCGCCAGCTTCCCCTTTTCGCCAGCAGGGGGCGTCAGAGGCCGTAGTGCGTGGAGAAAACCGGCCTCGGAGTTCCTTTCTCTCCAGTCCCTAAAACGATTCCCCTAACGCACTTAATCCCAACATTTTCATGGGATGCAATTGGGGCTCAGATCAAACTCCCACACCAGTAAGAAGCACCCGACTGCACGGTCCTTGCTCTCACCTACAGGCTGGTGTCCTGTGCATGGTTTCGCTGGTCCACTTTGTGTAAAATGGAGAGACCGTGGACGCAGGTTCGAAACCCCTCTTGGCTGTTTTTGAACCACATGCTGTTGGGGAGGTTGATTCATGTCTCTAGACCTCAGTTTCCTCTTCTGTGCAATTGGGTAATAATGGTTCCTCCCTAATGGGTGGATGTAAGATTTAAACGAGTTAATGTGGGCAAAACCCTGGCGCAGGGAGGGCGCAGCGAACGCTGTTCTGAATGAATGATCAACATCTCCCCAAGTCACAGCCCCTGGGCGGAAGCACGCTTCCTCGCACCCGGCCCGACCTCCTGCCGGCCCCACGAGGACTGGAAGACCCGCGCCAGCCCCGCGGGTCCGGCGGCGGGGCGGGAGGCGGCGGCGCGGAGCCCGCTCCCTGCGGTAATTAGCCCGTGCCGGCTCCGGCTCCGCCACCGCTAATTACACGTCTCCTAATGAGGCCGGCGGCTGTTTGCAATCAGCCGGGTCCCCGCCGCGCCGGCGGGAGGCCGCGGGGAATCTGCCCGCGGAGGCGTGGCGGGGGCGGCCTCCTCCGGCGCGGCGGGATCCGCTCGGTGGTGCCCGGTGCGCCCGGGGGGCGCGGGCCGGCGCTCGCCGCCAGTTACCTCGGGTCTCCCCGCCGGGGCGCCGAGCCATTAGTGTTCGCACCTTACAGGTGAGTGAGGAGACTGAGGCTCGCAGAGGAGAACTGATGCCGGTACGACACTCACGCAGGAACGGACTAATGGTGATCTCTCTGACCCCTAGCGTTTGCTTTGACCGTCCGGTACTGCCTGGGTCAGTGAGGTACTGCTCGCTGGTGGTATTCCAGGGACTCTCAGAGGAAGATCCCAGATCCCAGGGACTCTCAGAGGAAGATCCCAGATCAAATAAATAGGGGGGGGGGGGTGCTTAGGAAACTTCCTTTGAGCTCTTCCCCTTCTTCCCATCTGAGGGTTCCCACGCTCAATTTGTGCTTTGGGATCAGACACAAAACCCAATATTAGTTCTGGCAAGGCCTTTAACATATATCACACTTTCCATTTCACAGACTGGGAAATCTGGAACATTCTCTAGGAGGTGATTGGGGCAACTGCTAAAATGCTCCGGTAAGATGAGGGTGGGAAGCTGCCACTGTTCACCTTGTTCCAGGGCCTGGGGGATGGGGGATGGGGGATTCCAGAGTAGCTGCCTTTATTTTTCATCTTTATCTAATGGGCTACTATTTATTAGCCTCTTACTATGTGCCAGGCACTGAACTAAACACTTTATATGTTTGACTTCATTTACTCTGCACAGCAACCCCCTGAGGGCAAGTTCCATCATTCTCTGAGGCTCAGGGAGGGAAAAGACTTGCCCAAGGTCACACAGTAATTTCAATCTTCAAAAAACCTGACACCCCCCCCCCCAAATTTGTGCTCTTAATCCCTTGCTCTCTACCTCTTCTGGGATGTCTGGGACTTAGAAGGACGTTCAAAGAAGGCAAATTCAATTGGGGTGCGATTCAAAGATGCCTTTGGCATCTATGGGGTCCCTCTCGGAGCCTGGATGCTGCCATGGTGGATGGTGGCAAAGGAAAAGTGTGACTGCTCTAGCATTTTGTTAAGCAGCTGCTGCTCATTAGGGGCTCCTGCTCCTCTAATCCAATCAACCAATTCCCTGTAAAGCTTTTATGGGGACAATCTGGATAAAATTAAACCCTCTCTCTGCCTGGCCAGGGGCCTGGGGAGCTGCCACATCCTCCAGGTTGCTGGGGCAGACATGGCCCTTCCTGGACCTCAGAGTCAAAACATCGCATTTCACTCCTGCCTCGTCCTCCCTGCTATGTGGACCCTTTTCCCCTTCCCTCACCTGCTGCGAGGATTTGCTCATCCAAATATTAATTGAAATTACAAGGGCACTACAGTTTGACCCAGCAATTTCTCCGCCAGGAATTTACCCCACAGAGATTCTTGCACTTGTGCCAAATGACAGGTGAACAGGATGTGTCTCACAGCAATGTTTGTGATGGCAAAAGGCAGCTTCACATAGCTAGTAAGCTGCAGAGCCAGGATTTGGACCAGGCAGTCTATGTCTTTAACCAGAATCCTATACAGCTTCTCTGTCTTTATGTGCATGGAAAATTTCCAAAAAGTGATACAAAAGTTGTTGATGGTGGTTACCTCTGGTGAGAGGAGTTAAAGGTGTGAAATAGGAGGGGGCACTCACTTTTTACTGTGTTCCCTTTTGAATTATTTTATTTCACCATGTGCATATGTTAGTTTTATCATTTAGAGTTACTGAGCCCCAGACCCCAATGTATGTTATTAGTAATCCTTGCCTTTATCCTGGAAGTGGGTACTATCATTATCTTCATTTTACAGGTGAGGAAGCTGAGCTCACCCAGGTGGTCTGGCCAGGCCACATACTTTGGAATGGCAAAGGGTGACTGACTCTTAAGCCAATGTTCATGCCCCTAATTTATATTAGCCTCCTGGGCTTGGAAGGTTCAGAGGAAAGTGGTTAAGGCTGACTCTGGAGCCAGCTTGCCTGGCTCAAGTTCTGATTCAGCCACTCATCAGCTATGAGTAAATCAGTTCTCCTCTCTGAACCTCAGTCTCCTCTCTGTGAGGATTAAATGACATCTCCATGTCAAGTGCTTCGAACAGGGCTTGCCTCATCCTGAGTGCTCAAGAAATGTTAGGCATTTTTATAGCATTGTCCTGAACATTATCTTCTCCAATTTCAAGCTCAGACCAGGTCCTCCTCCTAGCTGGTGAGTCCAGCTGTGGCTACTCCAGTTTTCTCCCAGAAGGGCAAAGCCCAGTTATCCTGTGCTCCAGCCTCAAGCAGAAGTCCTTTGGAATCGGTTCTCCTGGGTTATCTCAGTGTGGTGGTTGTGATCAGAACTGATCACATCACCAGAGCTGGAAAAATGGGCAGAGCCGCAGGGCTGGTG